AGCGTATGCTTGACATAGCCGGTAGAGAAGTGTTTTTGGTTGGGATGTTACTTGTCAATACTTGAGAAATTACGAATTTTTAATTACGCAATCTAATAATCTATTCATAATTTTTAATTTTTTTTTTTTGCTAAAATCCCCGAAAATTGAAAAAAAACCAGTAAAAAAAACAAAGCAAATGAGATTAGTATATGAGAAGGCATTCCGAAAGTGTAAATTGGAATATATGCGTAATCGAACACATCAAAAGACAAAATCTCTTCCGTACCCGCTCTCTATAAAAGGCTAAGGCACACGGAAAGTAACCCTAAAATAGCAAGTGCCAACATCAACCATCCAATGGCAAGGCTGCCGATGGCTTTTTTTTTTCGAAATTTGCTTAGAAGCAAGAAAATGGTGGGAATCGTACATGTGTTTAAAGCTGATCATTTTTGATTGCATATGTAAGCGCAAAAAAAAAACCGATATCCTAAAACTGAGTTTTAATCTTAATCATGGAAATCATGCATTTAGGAAGCATGAGGAAAAATTATGCTTCTTACGAAAATATAGATATTTTACCCGGGGGTGGCTTTTTCCCCCCAATCCACTACATCAATCAGATCCCCCCGGTGCGCGAGAACTCATCCGCTGAGCCCCTATGGGACATGGCGTTGGTTACGCAATCACCTATGGAATACCGACGACCAGATGTGGTCGTCTTCGATCACCACGCGCGCAAGATCTTCGTGGTGGAGGTGCTTATGGTGCTCGATTTCCACTTTTCTGGAAAAAAGTACCAATCAAATTTCACTAATTTATCGATAAAAGACTCCCAAAAAAAACCTGATGTCGGTTTGGTGGCTTCGAAAATGCTGGCAAGCCTGCCGGATGTGATGGACCATCGGCTATATCATCGGACAGTGATGCAATTTCAACTGATAAAACGTCAATTTCGCTACTGATACGATCAAGCTCAACGTGAAGGAAGTGCTGATGAAGTGCATGCGCATCTGCATCGGACAGTAACGGCGAAACACTCAGAGATCTATGGAATAGCAAAAACACTCAAGATGATTGCTTAATTAGAAAAAAAAGCTGTAACACTCCCAAACTACAGCTGAGACTTCTTTGTTCCGCTTTTTTACTTCAGGCCGTTCACTTGTTTTAAAGATTACGGTTCAGCATATCTCAACGGCCGCAAATTATTTTAGCAAAAAGCAAACTTATAAGATTTGAGCGTTCTAGCTTATCAAATTCGCGAGTTATGAACTCACCGAGAAAAAGTTTGGAGGGCTCTTACGCGG